TCATATCCTCTGGTAGCTCAGTTGGTAGAGCGGTGGACTGTAGAGCACTCACAGGCATCCATAGGTCGCTGGTTCAAATCCGGCCCGGAGGACGTTTTGGCCCAGTCGCTGGTCTATTTTATTCTTTAACACTACACTGGACTTGGCTGGATTGTCCATTGCAATCAACCACCGGACACTAACAGACACTAACAAAACACCACACCAGTGAGCAATAAGACACCGGGCCGGCGTAAAACAAGACACCGTACTGGTGTGAAACAAGACACCGTACTGGTGTTAAACAAGACACCGAGCTTAAATGAAACAAGAGACCGGACTGATATGAAATCGAAGACACCTGACTGGTGTGACGTGAAAGATACAGAACTGGTGTCAAAGAAAACACCGGGCCGGCGTAAAACAAGACACCGTACTGGTGTGAAACAAGACACCAGGCCGGCGCGAAACAAAACACGGGACTGATGTGAAACAAACACTGGTCTGGCGGGTAACTAGACATTTGACTGGTATGAAAAAAAAACTAAACACCGAAGTGCTTGGTGACGGTGTCATACCTTGAGTGACACAGCTTCACTGATGAAATATAGCAGCCTGGGCCATAGTCGGCTTATTTGAGCTTTTGAGCGTGCCGAATGCCAATGTCATTTAACCCGCGCCCCGCTGGGCTATTCAGCCATACGCGCCCTGCTGGGGGGGGGGCAGATTCTGCCCCCCCCCCCCCTGTCTAACTTCCGAACCGATGGTCGTAGAAAGACGGGGAAAACGGCAATCGAAACCTCTCAACAAGGCGGATCTTAAGAGCCCAAATTTTTTTGCTTAAGTAGGTCAGAGGTCAGGTCAAGGTCAGGTCAAGGGTACAAAATGTAAGTTTCTACAGTATCGGCTTTGCACCGTAGTTGCCGAAGAATGGACTGAGACTGATTGCCCAAAACGTGTTCTTAGACTACCAAGACAACATTCGTTGCATACAATGTCATTCAAAGGTCAAGGTCAAGGTCAAGTCAGGTCAGGTCACCAAAAATAAAATATAGAAAAGGGCATGTGCGACACATGTTTTATGGGTCATTTTACTCATATAATTCAATAGGCACACTCAATAAGTGATATGGACCACCTCTGGATGAATTTCAGGTCGAGGTCAGGTCAAGTGAGATCAAATTTTGAAGTTGGTTGTTAAGGCCTAAAAAGGTGTCTATCTGATGCAGTTTTTCACGGTGAATCGAATGATGCTATTTTTGTTTCCGTACGAGGTCTAGAACTTCCAAAAAATCATTTTTCAAAATCTTTGTGTGTCGTGACGTCATAAAATTTTGAATAACTCCCACATTTTTGAACCCATTCGTCTAGAAATTACTGTGAACGTCAAACCGCGTGGGACGCGACTTTTTCGCAATAACTTTTGAATACGTTGCCTCTCAAGAACGAAACTTCGGCAATGGACGTTTCAGACCCCGGCCTAATTTTTATTACTAAGGTTTTTCAATGTCCGATCAATATTTAGGGCACTTCACGTTCACTCGTAATGCTAAGTGAAATATCAGCCCGGATGGCGGCTATCGTCAGGCTGCTCGAAGCCCCGCCTACTAACTACGAATTCCCTGCCATCTACCGTTCAGACACGACTGCCATCTGTCGGTCGATCCTCACTCAGAACCGGTTCTGCATGCTGTGTGCGTCGGGTCTCAGATGGGCGGAAATCTCGAAACCGAGATTGTTCAGTATGGCCTTTTACCAGGTTTTTTAATCCGAGAAAAAAAACGAGATTGTTCAGTATGGCCCTTTACCAAATTAACTATACGAATTATTGACTTAGCAGCAGGGATGCAGAGCCTTGAACATTTGAGTCAGCTCCAGCTCCGGCTCCGGCTCCGAGTAAAATGGCAATACGGCTCCGGCTCCGGCTCCCACTCAGGGCAAAATATGACGGCTCCGGCGGATCCGGCTCCCCTCCGGCTATGCGTACCGGTGCATTACGGAAACATTTAAAGGGAGATTATGACCTTTTTCCACAAAATCTGAGTTAGGACCATTTTCTGACAAAACACAAGTTATAATGTAAATTAAAACCATTTTGCTCAATTCGGTACCTTGCCGCAAATATCTCAACTTGAAGTCACGTTAGCGGGGAGCGCTGAAAATGACCGTTGAATAAGTACTTACATCACTTTTTGGTACTTGCATGTAATTTTGTAAAATGAGCGTATTCATTACATTTGATCTTCATCACATCTAGTTAGTTAATGGTCGTCTATAGTGCCTTCAAAAGATATTCATGGTTTGGGGGTGGTTTATGTCTAAATTTACGCAACTATTTTTCCTGTTCATCATCTGTCGCCATATGCTGCTATTTTAGTAGCAACGACTCAATTTTGAATCGGTCCCGCCGACTGCACAATAAAAGAAGATAGATACAACACTTTTGCGGCATCACTGAAAAACTTATGCAGTACTGTTATCAAAATTCTCATAACACCGTTCGACAAACCTGAAGTCTTTTTGAAATAAATATGCTTGTATTTTTCGCTTCAGGCTCTGAGGCCAAAATAATGAATTTCGTAGTCGCAATCGCAAGATTTGGCTGCGTTTCTGGCGCATGCCGTTCATTTGTGGCGCAAAATAATACTTGGAAACAAATAAGAGTAGGCACTATGTACCCCCGAATTAGAATCTAATTAATTCTAAACCGAATTAACTCTAATTCAAATTAGAATCCTTACAACCAAGCAACGACAAGGTGATAACATAAACAAAAATCCAAGCGTCGCTGTTTGAAACAAAAGCGCCATATACTGCGACTTTTTTATAGAGAAGGACAACGCATTTCGGTGGGTGTTACAAGTACTGCAAGTACTGCTTCTTTTTTGCAAAAATAAAACCTTTTTCACATACGAAAATGTGCTAGGAAATTTTCATATTTTATAGAAACTACAGTAGAAATAGTATAGATGTCGAGTAATTTTTATTTAAGAAAAAAGAAAGCTCATTATCTCCCTTTAAGTTGGGGCATATTGGGGCTTGGCAGGATAACACGAAGTGTACTAACGTTCCTGGCGGTTTGATATCTACAAGAACCTAAAATTAAAATTTTAATTAAAAAATTAACTTGACTGTGTAAATATATTATATTATTATGTATCTCATTTACGTAATTACGTTGACAAACTTATTAAATAATCATTTAATTATTTTCTGTTATTCTTAAATCATCGTAATATTTGGCGTACGCGTATAGTCTTCCTATCTGGGTGACATTCTAAATCAATTTGTCGGTTAAATACCGACAAGAGGCGCATTGCAAACACATTCTTGCAGCCCTTAGGGCAAGCATGAATAACGTACGCCATGCGGCTGGGTGTGTTGGCAGGAAGCACCGCGTACCAACCCCTACGGACCGCGACTGTCCGGTCTCGGGTCAGGTAGCGCCTCAGGCAACGGCCAGCCGAGGCGCTCCGCCTTAGCTCCAACGTCACACTATGGCTCCGCCCCTTGTGGAGTAGCCTCTGATCACCGAGAAAGTTTCATGAGCAAAATTTAACATTACGAGTGAACGGGAAGTGCCCTAAATATTGATCGGAAATTGAAAAACCTTAGTAATAAAAATTAGGCCGGGGTCTGAAACGTCCGTTGCCGAAGTTTCGTTCTTGAGAGGCAACGCATTCAAAAGTTATTGCGAAAAAGTCGCGTCCCACGCAGTTTGACGTCCACAGTAGTATGTAGGTGCACATAGACCACTTCTCTGACATATATTCCGTTTTTTTTCGATACACTCAACTCAAAATTTTGGATTTTATAATTATTTTCCCAAAAGTCAGTTTTTTGAAAAAATTTGGGCCAAAATCCAAAATTTCCAAAAAAAACGAGATAGCCATTTGATAGACAAAGGAGAATCACGTATAACCTTTTTGGTACGTATTGATTCCTTTAAAATTGAAGATGTTAGCGGCGTTTGAAATTTTGCCGTTTTTGAGGCGAAAATGGCGAACATGACGTCACTAAAACGTCAATTTCTCAAAAAATTTCCGACGGATTTCGCTGATATTTTCAGGGAACGTGTTAAATTGATGTATGATAAGGTACTGAAAGTTTGACGTAGCTGGCGTAACGCGTTTAGAAGTTATTGGCGAAAAACGGGAGGGGGGGGGGCAGATTCTGCCCCCCCCGCGGGGCGCAGGTTAACGCACATGTAATCTGAGCTACATCAAGCCAGGATCTGACCGGCAGCTGCTCCCCAAAACGTCCTCCGGGCCGGATTTGAACCAGCGACCTATGGATGTCTGAACGTTCCGCTACAGTCCACCGCTCTACCAACTGAGCTACCAGAGGATGCTGAATGCTAGTGTCGCCGCGCTGACCCCCTCGTCGTCCCGCCCCCGCTCAGGGCGTGGTCCCTTTCACTACACCGTTCCACTCTGTAACCGGCACTTCACGGCCCGCCGTCGCCGGCGCACGATACCGCGTCAGAACGGCCTCATATCCTCTGGTAGCTCAGTTGGTAGAGCGGTATACTGTAGAGCACTCACAGGCATCCATAGGTCGCTGGTTCAAATCCGGCCCGGAGGACGTTTTGAAAATCTACCCGAAGCCCTAGTCGGTAGCCCTCACCTAGTTCAAACCCACATCCGGCGCGATAAATTATCTCTTCAAACCGCACAGTCGAAAGCAAAGTGTTTTTGAAAGGCACCAGCTTCTTCCCACAATCAGCATATGATGACCGTCCATGGTTCTGGCTTCTGGCCTGGCAATCACGTCTACCATATTCCGATACTAAACTGCGTGCTAAACTGACACGCAGGTTAGTATCGGAACTGACACGGCTGGCCCGTGAAGCGCAGCACCAATGATGACACATCGATGATGATCAAGCCGACACTCGTTAAGTCTGTAACCAGATACGGTCGGTGACACGCACCCAGGACTGACCAGTTTGACGCTAACTAATTTCTACTTCGATCTGACCGTCAGCTGCCCGGGACGGACCAGTTTGGCCCGGAACTGACCTGTATCCTGGCGAGCACCACCAGCTCGGGGAAGGCCAGGCTGCAGCACTCCACGTGCAGGTACTCGACCAGAGCCGAGAGCACGCCGTCGAACACGCCATCACGGAAGCCGTTCTCCTTCAGCTCGGCCTCCGAGAAGCGCAGCATGCAGCTCAGGTCCAGCGGGCGCATCGACACGCGAGAGCTGCGCTTGTTGAAGTCGGTCTGGTGGAGGACCTGGAGAAAGCGCAACGTTTTAAATTTATAGGGGGAAACGAGGGAAGTGAGGGCATGATAGCAACTTCACTACATGATAGCAACTTCACTAAAACATGTCCATGTCTAGCTTCCAAGTAATGTCAATGATCTTCTACGTTTTTCATATGTATTACTCACCATCTATTGGACAGTTTTCGTCAGCAATCAGTTTCCTTCCACTGAATAACATTAAAAAGACGTTTATTGGAATCAAACACCATTGCCAGTCGTCAATCTCCCTAAAAAAACGCTTCGTTCCCTGATAAAGTTAGGTTCCTTCGGACGTCTGTAAATATTGTATTGTCTCGTGTCTGTTCCTGCAACTCAGACATCCCGTTCAATGACCCCCATCCCCGCACCTCCACCCCACGTGGCCAACAGCGCTGACCCGCCGGCGTGCCCCTGCGTCCTCCCGCCGTACCTGCAGCAGCAGCGGCAGCACGGGGATGAAGGTGTTGGTGGCGGCCGACAGCTGCGTCAGCGCGCGCACCACGTGCAGACGCAGAGGGTAGTGGCGAGACGTGGTGATCAGGTTCACCGTGCCCAGCATTATCTGATGGGGAGGCGAACGCGGCGGAGGCCGGTCAGAGGGGGGACGTGGCTGGGGCTAACTGCTTAATAAGGCTCACTTCTCCTAGTCAGGTAACTCGACTCGACCTACTCTTAGACATGAGAAACCAAGCGACAAATGATGTTTTAACTTATCATTATGGAGCATGCATAAATAAGCTTAAATGTGATGCGATAAATTCACCGTAATTGGAGCATTAAAATGTATCAGCCGTACACGAAAAGCATATCGTATCACCTCGGGTTATGATAGCGCCACCGACCTGTGTGAGTGGGTAGAGCAGCAGTCGCAGCTCCTCACTGCGGTCCTCTCCGATCAGGGCGGACCACAGGAGCAGGCAGTGGACATACTGCCAGTTGTACACCACCTGGAACTGAACACACAGAGACATACCGTAACACAAAGACACACTGACACACACATACTGACACACAGACAGGCAGTGGACATACTGCGAGTTGTACACCACCTGGAACTGGATACACAGATACATACTGACACACAGACAGGCAGTGGACATACTGCCAGTTGTACACCACCTGGAACTGGATACACAGATACATACTGTAACACAAAGATATACTGACACAGAGCAGGCAGTGGACATACTGCCAGTTGTACACCACCTGGAACTGGATACACAGACACATACTGACACACAGCAGACAGTGAACATACTGCCAGTTGTACACCACATGGAACTGGATACACAGAGACATACCGTAACACAGCAGGCAGTGGACATACTGCCAGTTTGTACACCACCTGAAACTAGACACAGATACATACCGTAAGACAGAGACATACACAGGTGAAACAGCCGCCCACAGCTGAGGACAGTGGACAAACGCTAGTTGTAACGTACACCACCTGAAACTGAACACGGATACACACACTCGTTACAAACAGCAGAAACACCGTCACATACAGCAGATACATCCGCGTAACCAACCTATCCACGTCTGATCCACCTTACCCAGCAGCTTCCGGTTACCTTTTTCTTGTCGAGTTTGGCGTTGCGCAGGTGGATGGCCAGCTGCCGGATGTAGAGGAACGCCCGCTGGTAGCTCATAGACGGGTCGATGCTGTAGAGCTCCACCAGCGACCGGCGCATCAGGTGAATGTGAGGCCACGACTGAGCGGACGTGAACGCGCAGTTCTTCACGTACGCCAGGTACGCTTTCTGTTGGCACGACAGGGCGGGCGACAGAGGGCGTGAGCGTGAACCGTCATTGACCGAGGAAAACGCTGGTTTAGAACTAAACCTCCATAAAAGCAAGACGGTTCTCAGACAACATGCTTCCTCACTTGGACACCGCCCGTTCCCCCGTCACCAGCCTGAGCGTCCATCCGCCGTTAGATCGGCGGCCGGCTCACCATGAGTACTGTGTCGAGCAGGGCGGCTTGGTTCCTCCTGGTCAGCCGGTACAGGTTGACGAAGGCCAGCACGCGCACCTCCTCCTCGCCGGCGGACCAGAGGGCCACCAGCCGGCTGACCAGCTGCGAGCACAGTCGCTGCTCGGTGGCCAGGTACGGCGTCATGGCCAGCAGGTGGCGCAGCAGCGCGCGCTGCATCGCCGCAGAGCCCGAGGACGCCAGCAGCTGCCGGCGGAATGTGGGACAGCGGTACTTTGGGAATAGGGAACCAGCGTACCGGGCCAATTGGAGGCAGAAGGGGGGTAAGTTCTGCACCGTTCACTCGCTCTCCCTACCCACGCTGGCATTGTGGTGGTATGATTATCGGTGTGTGATGATCCGGCAACTCATTATTACATCGGTGTGTGATGCTGAATCGGTGTGACTCTACAGATCACAAACTGCTAGAACTAATCTTCAAACGTCATACCTATAGCGACGCTTCATGAAGCAAGGCCACACACTTAACTTCAATGACAACTCTCCCAGTCCGCCTCACCTGAATGACGTCCGTGAGGAAGCGTTTGACGGGCCCTTTGACCTGCGGCCAGCGTTTGCAGCGCGACGGGTCCTTCTCCGACGACTCCAGTTTCAGGATGGAGGCCACGGCGCGAGGCACCTCGTTCAGACACAGACGCACCAGGCTGTTGAACACTGCGGGACACACGGCCGTGCAGAGACGGTGTCATAGGCGCAGGGCTGTGGGCCTTACCTCTTAACGAATCTCGACCCATTTAAACAATCGTTATAAGTCGAAACGATGATGTCTATAAAAAGCAAAATGAAAAACTATACAAGAACTATAAAAATGGAGAGAACGTGTCAACATTTCAAGAAGCTTTCTCAATATGTGGTACCGTGACGCATTGTATCGTGCTACAGTGGCACTACATCCGAGCTTCCAATCCGATCTCATTCACGTCAAACGCAACACAAGAATATTGGTCACACCCCTGTCCAGGATTTCATTCAGCCCGCGGTTCAGTCGGCACCGACCTGTGGGATCGTCGATGGTCGAGGCGCCCTCGGCCCCGCCGCCGGTCGCGCGCTGCACTGCCGACCGGAACGCGGCAGTGACCTCCTTCAGAGCCGACTTGGCCCTGGCGGCGGCAGCGGTGGCGTGAGGATGCTCCGCGAACAACAGGTGGCACGGTGACACAAATAGCCGGGGATTTATAACACGAACGCAAACATTTTACTTTGTCAGCAAAACAATCAATAAGCAAAAGTTTCGGCTCACGTATTGATGCACATGTGGGCGTAATTAAGAACAATAGAGTTTGGAGTTTTAAAAATGCCACCATGCAGCATCTGAGCATTGGTAACACAGGACCACAATTGAAAAGCTTTCTAAGATGACGAGAGGTTCGTTATGACGTACGTACTGTGTACTCGCAAGAGCTGCCTCCCATCGACTGATCTGAGTCAGACTGAGCCCAGACGGATCCGAGGGCTCGTCATCACTGTCTTCAGCTGAGTCCTGAAACAAACGAGGAAAAAACACTGTTCGGTGTGCAAGGCATCGCATCTAGTAATAAGTTGGGCTGTACAACCAAACAACCATTGTTTCACGATGGAGTTGAGAGAAATTGGCTTTCCCTCATAGTAAAATACAAGTGAATAACTGGAGTAGTAAAGATGCTTGTTCTCTTACAATAAAAGTAAGCCTTCAACTAATTGGCCCCACCTCATCTGCCGGCTCAGGCTGTTCAGTTTCTTTTTCTTCCTCCCCCTCGAACACATCTTTGTCATTTTCCTGGAGGAACTTGTAGAACTCTGGATCAGTGTCCTTCAGCTTGTCCAGAGACTTGTGAAAGTCCTCTTCATTGCCCTCCTCTGCAATATCAAGACATGAATTGAGTTGCGAGCTGGGACAATGCTTCAAAAGTACCTGCAAATCATTGTTCAACAGGACATGCAGAACTGACAGTTACGTTGGGAACATGCTAAATGCAATTGATTGACACCCCCTGGAGGTCTGGGGTCACTGAAAATGGGACATGATTGCCACAAGTCACTCCTAGGCCCAAATGTCTTTTAAGCAATAATAACTGCCTCCCTGAAGGTCATTCTAACAAATATTACACAGTTTACAGATTTACTGTATACCTGGCCTATTCAAATACATTAGCCAGAGGGGTGTGGTAATAACTGGTGTAAGCGGTGTTATATAATACTGAACGAGGCCGGTGTAAATAAATTTTCAAGACCGAGGTCCTTACTGGATTTTTGAACGAGGCCGAAGGCCGAGTTCAAAAATCAGTAAGGACTGAGGTCTTGAAAATTTATCACCGGCCGAGTTTGGTATGTATTTTACTGTATGCCAACGATAAATTTATTTTCTGGACCGAAGCTCTTAGCCGACTTAGGAACGAGACCATCCAAAAATGTTGGCTTAAGTGCATTCTGGTAATGCATTTTTGACCGTGGTCAATTTGCTTACACCAGTTATTACCACACCTCTCTGGCTAATGTATTTGAATAGGCCAGGCATACAGTAAAAGCAAATTGACCACGGTCAAAAACGAATTACCAAGTCAACATTTTGGGATGGCCTCGTTCAAAAAACGGCTAAGAGCTTCGGTCCAGACAATTATTTTATCGTTGGCATACAGTAAAATACATACCAAACTCGGCCGGTGATAAATTTTCAAGACCTGTCCTTACTGATTTTTGAACTCGGCCTTCGGCCTCGTTCAAAAATTCAGTAAGGACCTCGGTCTTGAAAATTTATTTACACCGGCCTCGTTCAGTATTATATAATCCTGAATGGCATTACCTTCACTGGACTCCTCCTCCTCTTCCCCACTGGAATCGTCTGGCTCCTCCGCTGACTCTGTCTCATGGTCCCCACCATTCATAGGTGTGTCTGATTCAGCATCTCCATCGTCATCAGAGTCAAACCCAGATGCCAGGAACTGGTCAATGGACATAGACGCCAAAGCTGCATCCTTATCATCAGAGCTCACACCATTCTTCTTGGACTTTGAAGCTGTTCCCTGTTTTGCATTTGAGCTATTTTGTGATTTTACCTTCTTTGCCTTCATTTTGTGCACTTTTTACAGTACCACCTGTAATGTAACAGTAATACCATTAAGAAAGAACATGGCAAGTTAACATTTGATCAGATAACATTTTCATTGGTGACTAAATGGTGAGCCACTTGAGCTGCTTTATTACCAGATGGTTTTTGATTTTACACACCAGTATGTTATCACCAGGAAAAATGTGTCCTGTTATCACAGGAACAACATTTTTACTAGTACTTAGTAGGTACTTAAGGGTCAGTAGGTCAGGTTAGGTTAGGTTTTGTTACCAATGCAGTTTGTTTCAAAATCATGGCCACCTGTATGCCACATGATAGCGGGCTCTACTTTTTTAGGGGCTTTCCTGCTTTCTCTATTTAGTCTATTGTGAGGGTGAAATCCCTCTTTTGCATCCCAGGCTAACAATTGAATAAAAACTGCACCATATTTGCCACAAACCATAATTAAACTTAGAAAAATTTTCATATGATGTTACTCCTTAAAAAAGTCAAGCAGGGATAGCAAAACCTAATCTTATCTGACCTGTCATTACCTAACCTAACCTAACCTAACCTAACCATACCTGACCTGACCTTACTTAACTACCAACTCACTAACCTACAACCTGCTCAGGCCTTTTGCATACTTATACCCATGACCCAACATGTGGTCAGGTGAAACCTTATATGGTTCATCCAAAAAGTATCATAAGCATCAATGTGAGATCTCATTTTTAAGCTTAGAAGGACGTGTTCTTTCCTTTAATGTTCTTATTTTGCCAATTTGTCCAGTTTTAACCCTCGCATGTGTGCGGCGTTTGCCAGCTTCTAATGTGTAGGGGGGGGGGTCGGTTGGACCCTCCCCCTTGCCGTTTGGTCCCTGATCGAGCTAGAGCTTCGCGAAAAAAACGAGCGTGTTGCCCGTGACGAGAGGAAGCCGATGATACCCAATTTTAAGGTCCTAGGTCATTGGTTGACCTTCCAGGTCAGGTCAATGACCCAAAGTCGGGAAAATCGGGACCTGTTAGAAAGTCGTAAAGTGTGGCTGCTAAGGGGTTTTTCGGGGTGCTGATCACGAATATCGTGTTAGTTTTGATCACAGATGATGTCTTGAAGCATTTAGACCAGGTCGGGTCAGGTCAGGTCAGGTCAACCAGTAGGCGTCGTGACGGGTATTCGTAGTACGTGTCAACCGCCTCTGACAGCTTTGTAACATGTTACGAAGTCACCAAAACTACTTCGTAAATGTTCAAATGGTTGCTAAATTCGAATTCAGCTCCAAAAACTAGCCTAGAAACATGTAAAACTCGAAAAAGTGACCCGAGGTCACCCGAGGTCACCAAAGGTCAATGACCTGACCTGACCTTCAGGTGACCTTGACACACACGGGAGTAACATCAAACCACATGTTTGAACGTTTGAAACCACGAAAAGCTTGCAAACACGCGGCTAGTGCGAGCCGACATACGCGAAATCGCGATTCCGGCCAAACATGGTCTCGGAAAAGAGGTCACAGGTCAAAGGTCATTTGGGTCAGGGTCATGAAATTTTCAGGGTAGGTGTCAAATTGATCAATGCGAGGGTACTGAAAGTTTCGTCGCGATCGGCCGCTTTTTACGCGAGTTATTCGCGAAAAACCATGGGGGGGTCCATCCGACCCCCCCCCCCCCTACACATGCGAGGGTTAAGAAGGTGCAGAAAACTGAAATGTTCATTGTGATCCAGTTAGTGTATTTTTGGGGACAACAGACTGCTTTGAAAATTCCCTAGGTCAGTTTATTGTTCCTGAGCATGTGGCATATAATTGTTTGTATCCATCCCATCACGAGTCTGGTATGCCAGGGCAATCTTCACCACGCCTGCTCCTGATGTTGCTGACCTAAAATCTACCATAGTGGCATTGACCAGTTAACATGAAGTGAACAATCTGTGCCAGCCTGTTGTGAATTGTGATTGAACCCATCTTTCTCCCATGTCAACGGCACCACGGAACTTGAAGTTGACTGTGACAGTTGATACAAAGTGCAGGAAGTCAGCAGTGAGGATCTCATTCCAAACAAATGAAGTATTGGCATTCCAAATAGCTACTACACTCTTGGTACAACCACAGCATAATGAAATTGGAACTTAATGGCACCGATTGCTGAAATCCGAAACGTCAAAAGCATTTTTCATTATTTGTTGCTCCACCGAAACACTAAAAAACAATTGTTTTCATACGGATGGGCAAATTATTCGCAATTTAGAACTGTACCACAAAAGAACGCTAATTACTCCTACATTTCAATTATTCGCCAAAAGACATCCCAGGAACCAAGGCCATCTATACAGGAACCAACCGCACAAATTCAAACAAAATACACACGTGCGAGGAACGGGAACGTAAGTATTGATCGCATTATAGAGTTCAGTGATTGATCGTCAAAGGTGCGCTATATCTGTCGCACATGTGGAGCTACCATATTCTGTCAACAAATTTCTCCTTCATGATAGCAAAGTTTTTGGTAACAGGCGACGAACCGTATTATTGACCTCGATTTTTACCCATCAATATGTCAGAATGTAGTCAGTTTTGTTTCCACCGGCTAGCTGAGAAGACGAGACACCTCTCATCGTTGATTCAGTGGCATATCAAATATTCATGACCTGGCTTTCCTTAGCGATAAGCGTGACGTGGCAGCCATGGTACTGGCCGCAAGTTTGTAGAGGTGTCACATTCACTCTTTCGGGTAAAACTTTCCAAGAAAAGCGTGCTCAGATTTTAGCCGGAACCGGAACCACGATTCTCGTCATCCAATGAATGACATAAGCATGTGGAGAATTGTGCTGGACTGTGGGTGCCCGATGGAGTCGCAACAGACGGCGGAGGTCAAGGGCACGGCTAGGGCGGCGGCGGATTTGTTGCGCCCGGGTACCCCAGTTTTGCACAATCCCCCACCTATGGGCCAAAGCCACGCCGCTATCAAACTCGATTTTCTCCATGCCTGTCAAGCAAAGTAATCTTGTATCGACGGCTATCGAGTGCGCCGCAGGAGCTACGTAGTCAGTTCTTTTTTTCTGCGAACGTTCGCGAGGCGTCTCCACAGACGTTGGTTTAAGCCCTAACGTTTATATCAGCATTGAGCGCAGAGAAAAAGACACCGCCTGGAGTATCCAACGATAGGGTTTATTCCACACTATTCGGCGGGGTCGGTGTGAGCCGGCGCCGCGGCGACCCGTGCTCGCGGAGCTCCCCGCTCCCTGGATATGACAGCGTCACACAACAGCCGCCGGCCGCCGCCGGCCGGCCCGACGGCACTCGGACACGCACCAGACCACGCCACATTGTACTTATCACTTCCAATGTATCCAACGGTCCGCCCCGCAGCCCGGGCGGCCGGCGCCGACCGCGCCACTCGGCGGGAAACAACACCTGGCCAGCGCCCTCTCCGAGCCTGACCAACGCCTGCCCACGCACACACGCACACACCTTCACACGCACAGGGGCACACACATGCACAAACGTACATACGCTGATACGGTCCCACACCAACCAACAGAGAAAACAATGCGGCGTCTCGCCGGCGACCAGCGGCGGCGGCGGTCGGACGCGCCGGCGCCTCTCGGCCTCAACTGGGCCACAATCGGCCCCGGAGTCGGGCCGGAGTCGGAGTCGGAGTCGGAGCGGGCCGACCCTGCGTATGGCACTTGTCGCGGTCACGTATCACAGGCGGCCGCCGGCCGTGATATAGAGAGATGTGGCGCCGGCCGGCCGGTCCCCCGGCGGCCGCGCGGCTGACTAGAGGCGCGTAGGAACGGCGGATCAGGTGCCCGGCACGGGCCCGGCCGGCCGCATCAGATGTACACGGGCGACTCCTGGCCCGTCAGCAGGCGAAACAACGACGTCGGCATCGTCTTCATGTGAATCTGAAACGGATTGAGGGCCAGATCAGGAAACGCCATCGGCTGAACAGTACCTATAACTGACCGGCAGCGCAGCACGACATGCAAGAAACACCTGTTTTATTCGGCTTTCGTGAATCCATTCATGTGCGGATAAAGAACATGTTGGCCTGAAATGATGACTATCCGGCCCTCAGCCCCCCAGCCCCACCCCGTCGTGTGTGTGCCCCCCCCCCCCCTCAGCGTCTCACCTCTCCGACCGAGGTGGCCAGCAGGCTGACGATACGCTCGTGCGGCACGGCCACCACGCTCTGGCTGTTGATCTCGATGATGCGGTGTCCGACGCGCACGCCGCCGCGCTCGGCGATGCCGCCGCGCAGCAGGCTGCAGATGACGCCGTTCTGCACGCTGAAGCCCAGCTGGTACTTGGTGTCGGGCCGCCGGATGCGCACCTCCACCACCGGTGGACACGGCACCACCGTCAGCTTCACCACGGTGGCCTGGCGGGCGTTCTTGACGTAGGTCTGGCAGCTGGCCAGCGGCAGGCCCACCAGGCTGATGCCGTTGAGCGCGATGATCTGGTCTCCGATGTTGAGCTGGCCGCAGCGGGCGGCGGCGCCGGCCGGCGCCAGGTTGGCAATCACCACGGTGGGTACCAGCGAGCCCCAGCCGGACTCCACAATCACCACGCCCAGGATCTCGCCCTTCTGTTTGGGCACCACCACCTGGCGGCCGACGGGGGAAACAGTCACTGGTGGCAGTCGCTAACGCAGGAGCACGGGAAGGGACGACATCACAGCTTCAAAAATGAAACAAGTAACTCGATTCATTACTTATATGTGTACGGTGCGGTATGAAAAGAGATTGATTACATCTTCAGAAACTAGCTATATTTTTGCACATCCGTATTTGTAGCGTTGCTCAAAGCATTTTTTACGTTAAAAATGTATCAACTATCGGCCAAATGCTAGATAAACAACCGATGAGACGCACCTCTTTCTGCAGCTCCTTTTTGGCAAACATTTTCAGCTCCTCGCCGAAGATCTCCTGCGAGTTGAGCACCTCCTGGTAGTCCATCTCCTTGACGAAGCTGTGGTCCTCGATGCCGTTGGCCTTGAGGAACTCCATGTAGGCCACCTGAAAGGCCTGCCCGATGGACTGCGCGATAAACTGAGCCTGAAAAAGAGAACGGGTGTCAACTAAGGTGGCACGCCTATCGCAATAAACGTGAGCTAGCCGGCTCGCAAATAAGCAAAATCCAGTAACCGACCGCCCTGCCCGGCAAACATAAAGTAAAAGTTCGCCCCGCACAGAGTTCAGTCTCACCTCGTCACTCTCGAAGACGTGGCAGATCATCTTGGGCATGGTGTGCAGCTCGCTGGTGATGTCGGCAGTGACCCGGCGCCGGGCCATCAGTACCACCAGGTCGCCGATGTCGGCGATATACGAGATGGTGCGCAGCGCGTGGTCCATCATTATCTCCTGCACAGGGGAGATTATATCAATTATTAGACTTATTAATTTACACGTACGAAATCCACATACGATGTGGCTTAGCTTGTGTTCAAACTTCAAAGGGTGCTAGCGTGCGTTCGACATCCGAAAAATGAGGGATAATTATCCGGGATCACCGGCAATAATTTGGTATTGTAGAGACCACCGATGTAATTGGTCATATTTTTAGATTTATTTTGCTTCACTCATGGCTATTTGACTCGTTGTCATGTCCGTTGTACACGGTGTCAGCTTAAAACACCGAGTGATCCCGGTGATCCCGGAAAATTATCCCTGATTATCCGGATGTCGAACGCACGCCTACACGAGGAATTACAGGGTGTCTCAAAAGTTCGTTCACACATTTCCCATGCCAATAAAGCATATAAGAACCGGCCAAAAGTATAAGGTTTTGGTGTCTGTGTGTACACCAGACAAATATGCATGCTTTGACAACTGATTAAGAAGGTTGGAAACCAACCCCTTTGCTGTATCTCCAAAAATATTTGCTCATACCGATTTTTGTTGCTCCGTCAGCTGCCGGAGGCTGATAAAAGGTTACCAGCTTTCAAGCTCTTGCAGGGGAATCCCCTGCAGTTTCTGCGTCGGATTTAGTTTTGACTAGCTCCCCGGCAACATCTGATTTTCCCTGAAAGCCGACAGCTTGCATCGACACCATTCTTGAGTATTTTGTAGGCATTCTCTGGCGCTAACTCCTTCATGAATGACTGGCGCCGACATCCCAAGCGCCATTTTCCTTTTCAAAACAACCCCAGTCCTGAACAAACGGGAAGTGCCAGGAGTAAATTTTTCGCATCATATGGTAGCAGAATGTGTCGGACGTCTGTTTCTCAGACACATTGTGCAAATTTTGCAAATTCCAAGCGCTCGTCATTCCCCATGCCAAGACCTTCGCTCGGTTGCGGAGTGTTTTCCTCGGGAGATGTTCTGCTTTGTAAACGGCCCAAACCAGTCCATCGTGTGGTTTTATCGAGATTTTGTGTTTAAAAGAAAATTATTCGCTGCAGATCTGCCTCTTGAAACTTCGTTAGATAAAATTTTACAATAACTGACACTTTTGGAGGGTCAGGTGTCCTTGGCATTGACGATTTTTGGGTTATTGTCCCCAAAAATTAGCGTTATAGATATAATAAACAATTTTAAATTATAATTTGTCTTTATTTTACGATGACCTGCACTTTTTGAAAATGGGTAACCTCTGTCTGTGACCGTCTTGCCAGTTTTCAATAGTTATGACCGCATTTTCAGCTGCTTTCCGGAACACGAGTCTGCTGTCGTGCGAGGGTCGTTCAAAACGCCGTTAGTCTCGCATGGTTTCGTCCTTCAAAAATTTTAGCCATCGTTTTTATGAGATGATCATCATGTTGCACTCATCCTCGCCGACACTTAGCCATGTGTCATTTCCGACTTAACCATTCCCATTACTCCTGAAACAGAGAGTTTCACAACATACCCGACTTTGCAACCTACATTTTCGTGCCTGACCCATGGTCAGAGGTGAACCCTTTTTGTGAGCTCATGAAGGGTCGAATGCACTTGAAAACAATGAGACTGCTTGAGGAAGGTTGTCACCAATGCCCATGCAAAATTTCGACTGTTGAATTTCTTGTTGATTCAGAATTATTGACAAAAAAGCATGGCTGGTACCTGTGAACGAACTTTTGAGACACCCTGTACAGCTATCTCCATCTATGAACAGCGGTAGCAATTACCCAACCTTTGCGGCACAGCATACACGCCATGCGTTACAACTACCGCCATATATGGACTCGGGTCTCGGGACCATTACAGAAACTATCCACGCCTTGCGGCGCAGCATATACCTATATCAGGCCTTGCAGGTACCGCCATCTATGAACCGTTATATAGACACTATCCAAACCTTGCGGCACAGCATACCTGTCAGGCGTAACAACTACCGCCATCTATGAGCTGCGGTAGAAACTATTCACGCCTTGCGGCACAGCATACACGCCAGGCGTTAGGCGTTACAACTAACGCCATCTATGGACTAAGCAAGAAACTATCCGAGCCTTGCGGTGCAGTATACTTAGGTATCAGGCGTTACAGCTACCGCCGCCCATGGACTGCAGAAGAAACTATCCAATTCTTACGGCGCAAGCATAATCGTTCAATAAAAAACTGATAACATTTAACAAAACAAACAAAACAATCCCAACTGCATGAACGGCAGTTATCGTGGAAAAATAAGCTTCACTAGGCCATAACTGCGACTTGCGAGTGGAAGAAGAAGAAAAAACTTGCATTCTGTGGATACGAGGGAAGAATTAATTTATATATTTTCTCCTCCAGACCCACCGGGTCGCTGAAAAAAAGTTCGGCTGAACCTGTTTGTCAGTGAGTGAGTATGTGAGTATGTGAGTGAGTTTGTCCAAGCTTTTTTGGACCTGGAGTCAAAATGGGTGGACCGATCGGGACGAAAGTGGGACCGTTTGATTCGTCTCCGGCGAGGTAAACTTTTGGTGCTGGCCTCGGTTCGCTCGGTGTTTCGTGGCACATGCTATTCCGCTTCAAAGTTTCGGTGACACGAAATTTTTTGTCAAGGCTACAGGTCAACCCGAGGTCACGGGCAAAGCCATACTGGCGGGACACATCGGTAACACCTGGAACCAGTTTCCAGGGGGGTCACCGTCTGCGAGGGGTGCAGGCTGCACGTGCTGGGGGCGGAAAACCGTTTTGACGTGAGGTCCTCTGGCTCAAAGAAATATTGATCTATCAACCTCAAAATCGGTTCATTGGTAGTCCCAGGCAAGGCCTCCAAAACAGTGCACATTTGGTTGAGCTAAACTTTGTGGTGCATGAGCTATGCACGTGCAAGCCTATTGCACCCCTTCGTACGTTGCCACGCCTGCAGGGTAAACGGTAGCTCTAACTGGTTCAAAACTTGCAGGTCATAAGAAGAATGCATTGAGTCATGACATTCCGGCGAGATAATATCCGAGGGGTGCAAGCTGCGCGTGCGGGGGGCTGTTAACGGTTTTGACGATGGATCCTTTGATCCCGGGAAACGTCGAGCTAGCGACACAAAAGTCGGTACACTGATAGAACTAGACACACGCTACAGGATGTTATGGAAATGCCTGCACTGTGGTGCCTAGGACATGAACTATGCACGTGCAGTTAATTCATATCTTACTGTAGGTAGATCTCCACATGAATCTCACGTGCTTTCAAGCATTTCATGGATGTTTCAGTTGGTTTTGCAGTCCATACTGGTCCATACTCAGTTCCATTCCTCCAATTCTGGCCCAAGGCAACGCACGAGCGCTGCCGGCATCTAGTTTATATATTTCATTGATGAAGTTCATCCCGGTTTCATCCAGTGACACCTCCTTCGGGCACTTTTTATTGCCCTAATTGCCCCATCCATCTTTCAGCCTAACAGGGCCGGCGGACAGTCTCGGCGGTCGGGCGGGGTCGGCTCTCCTCCAGACCCACCGGGCCGGAGACAGAGCCGCAGACAGCGGCCGCGCCGCGCCGTGATTTAGCGGCATTGTCTCTGTAAATCAGCGCCAATGTCCGGTCGGCAGCATGGCGGCGCCTCGGGCGGACATGGAGGTCGCCATCGCGCCCCCGCCGGGAGCTCATCACGCCTCCGCAGCCCGGCCCGGCTGGAAATGAGCAGGGACTGCGACCGGCCGCGCCAATACCTGACCGGGTACAGGGCGGGGGCCGGCTCTGACAGCTGCGGAACAAATTACCCGCCGAGACTCATTCGCGCCCTCGTACACAAGGCTTTCCATGAAGTCATGAGGTCTCAGGGTTCTCGGCTCATTCCGACGACGGCGATTAAATTTCGGCGGAAGTTCGCTCCAAGCTCCGCCTTCAATCGAGATTTACTCTTTCATCAGACTCTACGGCCAACCGGTCGAACTGTATGTATCGAGTCTATTGACAGATTCATGAGACCGAAAGAGTTGTCAGGACCACTGGAGAAGTGTTCAATTTCGTGTTAACGGTAAGCACCAAAGCCGGAACAGCGCAAAGTGAAGGGAGAAAATGCATCGCCATTGGCTTCGCCTATCTCATGACCAGTCAAGTAACTCTATGGGGGCAGCGAATCGTCCGACCCGAGTCCCTGCGCCTGTGGTGACCCGTCCGACCTCTGTCCCTGTGTTTCCGCTGGTCCTGGCCCGGCGATGACCCATCCCGGACCGCTCCCACTCCTCGCGTCCTATGGTAGTCCCAGTGAGCCGCGATGGACCACTCTGCCCGGTACCCCACCTCCCCACGGCCACGGCGTAGTGCGGTGATCATAACGCGCCTATTCCCCCGCCGGCGCGTCCGGATCAGACGCCAAACCAGATGATCGTCTGCGCTAGATATAAGCGTCCGTGCCAGATATAAGCGTCGGCACCAGATGAGCGGTAACTGGCTGATTATTACCGTGCCATGCTGATGGGCCTGGCTCACGCTCGCCATTTATACAATTCTGCGCTGGATGATTGGCCGTGACCCACTACGGTAGAGTTACAGACAGAAAACATTTTCGTGTAGCGAATATAACTTTAACCTCTGTTGAGTATAGAAACGGAACGAATGGAGAGCAGTCTGACCTTGAGGTCGGTGTTGAGCACCATGATCTTCTCGGTTGAGATGAAGAGGTCGACGTCCGTGCTCGGCTGGGTCTCTCCGTCAGGCACCTGGGAACAATGACCGGCGGCGAGTCAGTCCTGGGCCCAGAGGACTCGCCTACTGGAAGGGTAGGAAGTCGTGGCAAGCGATGGAGTAGTAGTAGTAGTAGTAGTAGCTACCCCTACCCCTGCTACCCCTGCTAGGACTGCGAGCGGTCCCCGCCATCAGAGTTGGGAGCAGTACGGCGCAGTTGCAGATCACGCATGAACAGTGAGAGCGTGCGATTACCAGCGGACCGTAATGATCGGTATTTCGTAGCGTGTACCAAACACTCGGATTGAATATGTAAAAAATATGAGCGACAAAACCAGAAGAACAGCAATAGCATATTGTGTTTGATGCAGCTATTAATACATTTAAGGAGAGCAGTGTTATTGAGAATATGGTCCGCATTCGAAGTGAAATAATTGGATATCAAATCTAAGAAAAATCAAATATATTTAAAACCGAGAAAATAATGTGCTTAAAAGAGACGATGGTCTCAGTGCTGCTTCAAACCACCATGTATGCGCATTCTCGTGATCAAATCAAGGTCAGCAACAGTGAACAGAATAGCGAGATAATAATCATACAACACGAATCAGACGGAATGGGGAACACAAAGAAAATCATCCCAGAATGAGCAGAGCTACATTGTGCAGAACCGTGCAAAAGGCATTAAAACGCTTCTAGACCGTGCGACGCGGCGGTCGAGCTCGCTGAGGGTCGCGGCAGCTGACACCAACTCACCAGAGCCTGTACCGAATGCCAGGGGAGACGGGTGGAGGTGACATTAGAGCTGGTATGGTGACATTAGCCGGTACGGTGACATTAGAGATGGGCAAGGGCAGCGGAAGAAGAGCCGCTTTCAAAGACGCAGTGGCTTGGTAACGGAGTAACACAGTAAGTACGACAGAGACGGCAGCAGCGTAAAGACACAATACATCTACCCTGAACAACTATACAGTGCACAGGAACTGGTCAGACACACAGCAGAGCCTAGAAATACACACCGCACGGAGAGAAAGCAGCAAACACTGGAGCAAAAAGGATGTCACAGCAGCAGAGCTAAAACTGTGCCTGGTGAAATGTAGGCCACTCCAGGCAACAGTAGGAGTTAACTACATCCACAGGAAGAAAGTGCCACATGTCCGCAGCGATTCGATCTCAATTTACATACAAATTGACCGTGAAATGATCACCAGGATAATGTCACACGCAGATTACCCTAAATCTTCCATATCTTCCGTCATCATTTCCATTGGATATATTCATATAGATTGTGGTTTGATTGAAGCTCTGATAAATCCAATTTTCGGCGACGTTCGTTGTGATGCTCGTAACGATAATGCAATAACCGGAAATCGCCTAATTTATCAGCGCTGATTACAGTGGTTAGATCGAGTGCTCATTTCGTGTACCCAAAACTCGAGCCGGGGATGACAGTAGATCATCGCAGCGAGGGACGCGTCACAAACGATCGCATTATAATAAAACATGATGAAGAATGATGAGCCCTTCATCAGATGAAATGACGAAGACTATCACACTCAAGACCATCATTTTTAGCGGAGCATTTCACTGTTCTATTTTTAAAGCCCTTTCATGCTAGCATTGCTAGCAAACGAGCCACCGATTCAAAAGCGGATCGATCTGGTACATCGCTCTAACGGATAGTAAGTAGCCAAAAATGCACCATAACACCAGTTATCATATCACCATCATGAGCCTACGAATCAAACAATTGATGTCCCGGTCCAATAACGATAATGATGATGATGATCATAACGATCTGCAATCATCATAAAGATATTTACCGAAAGCCAAATATGTACCTCGTCGGTTTCCCAGTAGTTTGATCGTGTTTTGCCGCGGTGAGCACACAGTGCGGCGCGGCGGCCGATCACCGCCATTAGCGACCGACCGGCTCCCGTTACAGCGCAATGCACATTGACGTGGGTAGTAGCGACAGCGGCCGAACGGGGGCCGCACTGTAGGCCGGCAGCCTGAAAAAGCGCTAGAAATTCCCCCAAACTGACTGTCCGCAATATGAACAAAATAGGTATCATTTAATCCCAAATTGATCGAAGAATACGATTCCGATGCTAGTTTTGCCCTAAGGTCAAAATTGAGGTCGTCAGTTGTCACCAAACACAAGACAATTTAGACTCTCTATAGGGCACCACATTTACCGATTTTAATGATGAACTTAAGTGGTAATTTATTAGTTGACCAATCGTCGTTTTGAACGAAATTTCCTGTCAGACTAGTTCAGGGCACTGTTGTTCACTGTGCCAACATCATTCTGACATATTGCATTGCTTTTCTGCAAGATAAGCTAGCTGTTTGCAAGCAGCTGCAAGACGTAATTTAAAATCATATCCAATTTTTTGATTAGACTTTTATAAAAACGTTATTTCGAGCGGCTAAAAATGAACATTTTATACTAGCCTCTGATTACTCATCTTTTGTTCCATATAGGTGCTTTGCTGCTTTTCCCTGCTACTTTTCGAGATATGCGCCAGTAAACCACATGATGTAGGGGCAATTGTCACCTCGCCGCTCTACTGAAGGCCCGACGCTCTTTAAAACGCTGGAAGTTGTGAAAAACAAACGCTTATAATCTAAATAAAATATATGTCCCTGAGCTCAGAATTGATCAACGCACACAATGCTGTCAACATTTCTGGGCCAAACTAAAAAAAATCAGTCATTATTAACCCCTAAGCACAAGAGTGATAATTAACAACAACTTGCTCTTTAGTTAGACTTTTTGAGATATGTTATTTCGAGCCGCTAAAAATGGCCATGCCATACAAACCACCAATCATCTTTCTGTCATGCCCTACTCGCAATTTTTGCTAATGCCTGCTACTTTTCGAGGTCACGTGACCTCACCATTAAAAGTGAATGGGGAAATAAGGAAACTGTTGTTTTTGCGCATGGAATGATTTCAAACTATCTAAAGCACACGGAATCGTGATTTCGTGCACTCCTTGCAAGATCCGATGCTTTACTTTTGCATTTTTGACCTTCCGTGACGTCATTTATGACGTCACACCGGTCATAGGAGTTTCTCGTCAATAACTCATGATCAAATTGAGCCAGCGACTCGGGAAAGCCACCAATGGACTCGGGAAGACCTCCCGAATCGAATGATATGCGATACGACCTCCTTCGATTAAGTTCGTGGCCTGATGGGCTCTGAACTGACCTTGACTCGAGGTCAATACTAGAGTTGCAAAATTTCCCTACCGCACTACCGGCATGCCGGTAATTTTTCACTACCGCAGGTTTTTTCGTGGTATCTGGCATGTCTTGCCGGTAGCATGCCGGTATTTTTGATTTTGCACAAAAAATTATCAGCATATGATTCAAACTTTGGACACTAAGAGGCTATTGAATTGTAATAAGTTGGACAATGGGTGGCTGTTGGGTGGGGCGGTTACTGAAATTGCCAAAATGTGGCATCTCATGTAGGGGTAAGCCAGAATCAAGAATGCAGGTTTTTTAGTATGCCGGTAATTTGGCGTTTTTTTTGCTTGGGGCGTGGTAGCATGCCGGTATCCCAGAAAATGTTTGTGGGGCGGGGCGGTGCCGGTAGCAGCCCATTGGGAAAACTTTGCAACTCTAGTCAATACCTTAAGTTGACCTCACCCGAACAAAAAGTATACCATTCGACGCGCCTAAGCCAGGCGAACACGATGGTGCCAAAATCGCTGCTCTGCGGCCATTTTTTGCGAAATTATTTGCCAAAAACCAAACCCTGCCTTGGGCTTTTTGACTTCACCTCAGAGGTTACCGGTTGACCTGGGACCTTAAAATCGGGTATCAATCGTTCCGCCTTGAAACGGCGCACACGCTTGTTTTTTTCCGCGAGGGTCTAGCTCCATTAGGGGCGAAACGGCAAAAAGTGGTCGTACCAACCCTCCCCCCTCGGCCGGCCGAGGGGGTGGGGGGTCCGACAATAGGTCCGGCGAGGGTTAAGCAGCCCCACTTCGTTTTTAGCATGTTTGCTTGTCACTGAGATCAACAACTCAATCACAAATAATTTCTAGCACTTTTCCGGACCCCCGGCCCAGTGTGGGCCGGCGGCAGCGGGGAGTCCGCTCAGGCCTCAGCGGGCTGTACCGACCGTCTCCCGTTACTGCACGTCGACGTGGGTCGTGGCGACAGCGGCCGAACGGGAGTCGGCGGCGGCCTGTCCGGTCCGGTCCGGCCCGCAGCGGCAGGTGCTTTTCGGCTCCGACCGACATCCACAATTGACAGTACTTTGAAACTGTTCCATCCGTCGCCTGCTGAGCTCTGCACTAGTGGAAAACTATTGTGAGCAGCCCGAGCCATCGATGCCACTCGGGGCTCAAGAGTGTCATCATTGAACTCTTTGTTATTTCATCACGTCGCCCCAGCCGACCGCTCGCCGTGACGGACTCGGTTCTGAACTCAGTATCGGCGCTACAAGAGTCTAGCGACATTATCACCAAGTCCTGCCACTTACAACCAACTTGCATTTATAAAAATATAACCAGCCTGTCCCACTCATCCATTCGTCTCCCTCTTTTCCTATCAGACCCTCCTGGACACCAGCGGCGGCCTGCCTTACCCGGATTTTGGCGATAGCCTGTTGCACCATGTCCTTCTTGGGGCGGCGCCGGCGTCGCTCGCCGGGCCGTTCGTCCAGCTCCATAGCGCCCAAGTAGCGGAGGTGGAACAGGGTGCCGGGGGAGGCGGACGGGGGCGAGCCGCCGGGGCCGGGCCCGGGGCCGATCTCCTGGTACAGCGGCGACACGGCGCCGCCGGCCGCCCGCACCGACAGCCGCGGGCTGGCGGACGGTGCCATGGCGGCGCCAGAGGACGGCGGGCGGCTCGGAGGAGACGTGCCCCCGCAGGAGCCCGTGGCCACGGCGCCGTTGGCCGGGGGACGGCGCGGCGGCGGAGGAGGCGGGGGAGGGGACGGGGAGCCGCGGGTCGGTCGGTAGGGCCGCCAGCCGAGCTCCGGCGCCGGAGAGGGAGGCGTCACCGGAGAGATCGGACTGGACGGGAAGGTGGGGGAGGCAGCCAGGGCGGAGGGAGAGGAAGCCGGAGCGATAGCGGGAGAAGCTGGGGCGACATGAGGAGAAGCTGGAGCGATCGGAGACGAAGCTAGCGCAGTGGTGGCGGCAGGCGGGCTCAGGGCGGGGGCGGGGGCGGGGGCGGGGGCGGGGGCGGGGACCAGGTCGCAGGAGCGGGCGGCCGACGGAAGCCGACAGTAGGGTGACGAGGGCGAGGGCGACAGGGAGGGCAGGGACTGTGTCTCGGCGTCCGCCCCCTGCCGGATACACCGACCGTCGCGTCTCAGTGGTCAGCTCACGGCTCAGTTCACGGCTCAGCTCATAGTTCAGATTAAGGCTGAACTGTTGGCTGAGTTCGTGACTTGGTCTGAAGGTTAAAAACAAATTCTTAGTGGCAAAATATTTGTGTTACTTTAGTTCTGCTTCACAAGTTTAAACTTGTTGCTTTATGCAGCATGTATTAGTTACGGCAAAATTTTGATCAATGCCTGTTTGAATTTTGATCATGGGAACTACCATCAGCATCTTCACGATAAATTGAACACTAACACATTAAAACATGACGCATTTGTACATAATCTCAAGTCATTTCATAGTTACATTACAACCAAATAAAACACACGTGCGATTCCCGGTGCTTATACACTGTTGGGCGCACGGCACAGCAAGCAAATGATAAAACAACAGCTAAGGCGTCATGAGTTGTGGGCGGCGCGGCCTCGGCCGGCTACCGTGAGATCCTGACGGCCGAGCGGTGCAGCAAAACAACCATGCAGACCGGTCCGGTGGCCGCGGCACGTGAGCTAACCAAAGAGCGCAGGCGCTGACACAGCGGGCGGCAGGGCAGGGGGACAGGGGACAGAGGAGGTGCGGACAGCGGCCGGCCAACAAAGCAGGCGCGCAACGGAGCACAGTGCAGCCAACCAGCCGAGCCGGTGCCGAGCCGACGTACCCCACCCCAGCGGCGGGCTGGAGGGCCCGGTGCGGCCCTTTGACCCGTCCCAGCTGCTCTCTCGCCAGTCCCCAACATGTGTCGATGACGTGTCTAATGGCCCGCTGTGCCCACATGTGCTCGAGTGCTCAGAACTCACACAGAACTACGCAGCTCAGCTCTAAAACTGGCCGACAAACGGCCACCATTCACCCGCGGCTGGCTTTCAGCGACAGTTAAAATGTTTCCGCGCATACCGATCAGCGCTATGCCCCATCCAGAGCCTTGAGAACCCAAGTCCTTGTTAAAAATCTCAAGGAATATGCTACTATTCAAAACTACTTCAGTTCAGACAGGCTTCACATGTTTTAACGTAAATAAGATCAGTCGACGAGCAATATTATCGTCTGCATATTATATGTGGTGCAGCTGTAAATGATAATTTCGCAAAGCTCGGAAACTTCCTCATACTCGAATTAATAAGGAAAGACAAAGCTACGTCAGTCAGGTACGAAACTTCCAAAGCCACACCGAAGCCACACAGGGCTTGGGTGCAGCTGCCCTTCAGTCCGGTACAGTCCATCGTTTGCGCAGGCTCTGAGGCGACTTTCTGTCAACTCGGGCGGGTCCTCTTCACACACCACTGACCACCGCGACGCCCCAGCCACTCCGAGCCACGCCATTCAACCGGGATCACCTCTGTGATGGTAAAACGTCCACCCCGCCTGTCTCTCGAGTGATGGAGGCGCGCCATCTCTCGTCAAATCCTCGCCGAACTAAGCACGTACGGAAGGAAATAATTGTCCGCTCAGGGGCGGCGGTCTGACGTCAGAGGTCTCCAGTGACGTCAGATGTGTCCCAGCCCGTCTAATAGACTGTAACATTGGAGATATTAGCGGCAGGCGACAGAGGACGGCCCAGTTGACCCGTGCCCATCCGTAGATGACTAGACAAAGCGTTTCGTAGACTAGTCAAGTCGATCCATTAGTTTCTGCCACAAGGATTTCATCAGATGAACGGAATTGAAAGGTACGGCGGTGGTCATCTCGAAAGAACTACGGCTATTTTGATATATAAATAATTAAAGCCAGCAAGCTAAGAAAATTGTGCATCCGCCTGACAGAAAACTTTGCAATTTCAACATTAAGAAAACATATTAGCCTGCAACAACCGGAAATGACTTTGAACTACGCAGAACAACTACTGGGGCCGTTAGTGAATTAGCGTGGCGAGGAGAAGCCCAGGCAATCGCTCACGCTGACAGCGTAAGTAATGGCCCAGCGATCATCAAAACGGTCGTCGCCATCGGCAGACTTTCTCATCTGACGATCTCGGCCCGTCAGCCAACCATAAATAGTTGATCGACCCGGCCTTATATAAAGGCCCAGATCGGCCTCATGTTTGCAGCATTTTGCGACATATCCGGGACGGGCCGCTATTCCGGGCCGTCCTGCCCCGTCTGGGAGGGCTTTCAGAGGTCTGAGGAGCGACTGTGGGTGGCCGGCCCCGACGGACGGACGGCGGGCGGGGAGAGGTGACAGGCAGTGACTCATTAAAGCCCCCACAGCTGCTCTGACCCACACAAACACGGGTGACGCTACGACCGACCGGTCGGCGTGACGCACCGATCGGGTCGTGACTGAGAGCGGTGATGTACTGCGACGTAACAAAGGACTTATCTGGCATCAGACTACCCAGCCAATTCAGAAATGGCTGCAAATGAGCGATGCATGTTATGTAAGAGTCGAATTGTGATCAACATTAGCGAAAGCTTCTATACCTAAAGATGAAGAGCCTAACCTAATTATCTTCTTAGGATTCTAGTCACAGCAGCATATGCATCAGAATGGCATCTTGCATTAGCTCATCCCCATTCCCATCCAAAAGCTCCTCAACTTTCCGCTCTCCAGGCCATCCACTCCCCATGACCTCCGATCCCGCGGCAGGTCGCCGAGAGCCCGGCCGTCAGCGGGCCGCCGAGCGCCGCAAACGGCCGTTACAAACGCGCCGCCGACCCGTCCACTCGTCAAAAGTCGCCCGTCCGCCCGGCAAAGCTGCCATTCCGACCAGCGACGGCGGGCCAACGGCCACAACGACGTCGTGCCGGCCGCGGCGCCGCGGTACGATGGCGGCGCGGCGACGGCGTAACGGCGGTCGAACGGTGGCAGCGCCGGGCGCCGTCCGTCACCGCCCGCCGTCCGGGGACGGCTCCGAGCGTCTCCGACCGCCGCACGACAGCGGGTCCCGCAGACGGCGGCGGTGGCCATCTTTAGCTCGCTCAGCCCTCTCTCTCCCCCCCCCTCCCTCGGACGACAGGTCGACCCCCGACTTAGTGTGACGTGACAGCAGCCCGTGAGGCCCGTCATACAGCCGCGCGAACCCAGCCGACAGTGCCGAGCTAAACAGTTCCCGGATTTCACCTATCGGCAGCCAGCAGGCCACCATTCAGTCAATGCCCAGCCGGGGCCGTATCTCTACTCTGCGCTCTGTGACAATACCCCGGCCTGAGCCCCGGCGGGGTTCAGAGTCCAGCCCGGCGCGGGTAAGCCTAAGTAGCTCTCCCAAAAGCAGCGGCGTGCGCGAAAGCACCGGTGCCCGGCCGGAGTTCACCCGGCGCACTGAAGCGGTCAGCCACTATAGCGTTCGGCGACCAGCAGTAGCGACTAGAGCCTTCAGCCGGCGGTGAGCGGCGGCCAGCAGCTAGAGGCCAGCAGCCGGCTCCCCGGCGACCACCAGCGCGTGACCAGCGGCCGGTGTCGGCAGTGGGCTCACCTTGATCCGGGAGACGGCCTCCTCGGCCTGCAGCATCCGGGTGGCCTTGGTGGGCTGACCCTCGCAGACCAGCTGCGTGGAGCCCAGGTAGCGCGCGCGGAACAGCACGCCCTCGATCAGCACTGCAGGTTCGTGGATGTACACTGCGCGTGAAGGGAGAGGCGCGGTTAGTGGGTGAGGGAGCAGTGGCCGAGGGCTGACAAACACACACGTTATGGTATAAGACTTACTACCAAATAGCGAGACAAGGCTGTTAACAGATGACAGCGGTTGTGACCCGAGTTTAAATACCACACTACCACACATTCCATCAGGACTCAGCACATTCGCCAGTCATCTCCCAGTTACGGGCCCTTCGGCTCTGTATTACTGCATATGACGCGACCTCTCCTATAGCGCTGCAGACGGCACACAGCGCCCATTTCATTACCCGCCGCCTGATCCCCCTGTATCCGCGGCTCTGCGGCCACCCCCCTGTGATCCCACTGGCTCTGCGTGCGACCACAACAGGGTCGTGGCCGGCGCACTTACCGCAGCGTTACGAGCACGGCGGCGCACGGCGCACGGCAGCGGGAGATAAAACACACACACAGACACACAGAGGGGGCGGTCAGCAGGTGTTGACGCAGACCACCGGGCGGTGACGGAGGGCTGACGGCCCGGCCCGGCCCGGTCCCGGCGGGGTATTGATCCCCGGCCCATGGTGTCGGAGGAACACAGTCCCGGGAGTGCCGCCACCGACCGTCAGCAGCCAGCCCGGCCCGCGGCGGGGAAAGGTCACCGGAACACACACAGGCCCGGGCAGCCAAACCAGGGACGCCGTTAGTCACAACAGCGGGGAGCAGTGGAGAATGAATGACAGCTGATTCGGTATAGAAGACAATGTTAATCCAAGGTGAAAAATAGTATGGCTCACTCAGCACTGCAGGCAAGAACCCCAAGCGCCAGCAAGCAGGGTTAAGAAGGTTGGACAAAAATAGAATGCAGCACCAGTACCCACAAGCTATTTAAAGAATTTACCGACGCCACTGACCAACATTGATAACTATTCTCGAAACGTACCTTCCTTCGATTTTCCCTTCTTTCTCACGGCATCGCGCTCCTGAAAGAAGGAAAGGGTGTTGAAAGAAAACAAAAAATGGGCATTCGAACAACAGCGACCAGACGTCCCTCAGGTCAAAGGCTTGGTACCTTATGCAATATGCATGGAAAACAACCACAATTGAGTTTGCTGATTGAATTCAGTTACTGACATTTAAGTTCTTTCGAAAGCATTCGGATTTGGCAGACCTGTGAACATAAAAGCAAAAAGCTAACAGTAAGCATGTGCCGCGCTCCGGTAACAAAGTGACAACATGTGTGCATCACACGTGATCTACCGTGGAACGATAGGCAATGACAACACGCATGTGCACTGTGCAGATGTAAGCAAGACACACGAGCGAATAATGACGGCACATACCATCCACTAAAAAAAATAATCGGACGTCTACCTACTGCCTGATCAAAATTCGGGCTAAGCACAGCTAAGCACAGTGGACATTTTGAGTCAACTACCAACGGCCTATAACAAGCATTTCATACGCATCCAAAGTAATCTGCGATATGACAGTGTTTATAATATTACGGAGTTAGTCATGAACATTTCCACATCGCGATGTTCTCCAAACGTCAGCCACTAAGCGGAGCCACAAAAGGCAGCCCCGCAAACTATTCATCACGGGCTGGGTACGACGGTTCCTGGTTTTTACACACCATATCTTACATGATAAATGTCGCAGGCTGAGTGCACCGACAAGACTAACGGTTCCCACACAGACAAGGCACTGCCGTCCCGAGATACACCGAATAGACGAGCCGAAGGAACAAAACCTCGTCACACCGGTACATAGATGACAACTACGGAGAACAAAACCCGCATGCGTGACAGTGTGGTGCACGTTAAAACAAATCAAGTCATTGCAGATATCGGTAGCTAGTGCAGGCACCACCCGGCATTGTAGGGTGAACGCGACACCCGGCGTGAGAGGGGGTGTGGGGATTGCCTCCTAACCCGCACGATAAAGAACCCATGGTGTAGTTCGTGAAGAGTAGGCCATGTGCCGGCACCATGGCAAAATTAATCCCAAATCGAATTTATTGTCTTGATGGAGGACAAAGTGATATCTTAACAACCCTTTAAAGTAACTATAACGTAAAACTAATTCTAACAGTAGGTAAAGTAAGTCCCAGGATCCCACTCACCTCCCAAGAAACCCACAACGCGTTACCGAGCACTTTAAAGGTCAAAAATTTAGAACTCACACACACTTAATTAAAGTAAATGAGCACTTGCAATATCAAAATTCTAGCAATTCGATATTTTTCTAGCAAACAGATTCTTTACAGGCGGCCGAATGTCCAATGGACAGGGACGCCTTAAAACCTCATTTTCACTCACTCACTCACTAGCTAGTGCAGCTATCATCTAACCGGGAAGTGACATGCGGTCGTCAAACACAATGTTACATTGCATGCATCATGTCCAAGTCTCACTTTGAGGTGCATGAAATGAAACACAAGAGTTCCTATACGGGCGGCCAGTGTAGTTTAGATGTATAAAACGGTAGTGAAAAAGAACTCAAAAACATTCGTATACGGCACATGCTGAGCGGACGCGGGGATGGGGCGATGCGACCGTCACCTTGAGCCGTCCGTCCGCCGCTCCCGGCGAAGTGGGCACCAGGTCACCGGTCGTGTGAGACTTGGGTATTCGAGGGCGCGGCTTCCGCCAGTTCTGCAGGGACCGGGGGTACGTTACACCCACCGGTCACGGTTACGGCTAGGGTCAGCGGGACTAACACAAACTCGCAACGCAGCTGACATGATAAGAAACCCACCAGCACCACACCACAACCACCACCATCACCACCAGGTAGGACCATCAACCGGGTCAACCGAAGCACCAAAAGAAGCGCCCTCTCAATGCACACTGGCATGATCCGATTGGGATACCATGAAACAGAGCTCAACATTGCTCGAAGACAAATGAACAAGTTGGTGTACCGCGCGCGCACCAACACATGGGACAAGGAAAACGGCAAAAGGTAACAGGAATAACGAGAAATCTTCGAATAACAATAGCATATGAGACGAGTGTCGCTTAACTTGAAAAGTAATATCAATGAAATTGAGGACAATGCAACTGACATGGATTTCTGCGAATCAGCGCCGCCCTGAATAAGGAAAACAGCACGTGACTGTTCGACGCTCGTGACCGATATCAGTGTAATCACGTGACCAATATATGCGGCACCACCAGATCCCGGTCGGCACGCAACACACCAGACGGCTCACCCCGCCCTGTCCCCACCTCTCGGCACCCAGACGTCACAACCTCCCCACTTCTCCGGGGCATTCACCGCCTGGTGTCGCCTGGCAACGTTAGGAGAGATCACCCGGAGCTAAAAACATCGCCGTCAGTTGATTGCTGCGGCCCAGCTCCGCTTGTGACGGCCGGTGGCAGGCCGTGGCAGGCGGGCGGCGGCAATGGCAGCCGCCTGTCGATCGATGGGGACCGACCCCCTCCCCAGCACAGGTGACACGGCAGCCGGGCACGCCGCCGCCGCCGACCCTACCGCCGCGCCGGCCGGCACATGCCCGCTCACGCTCCGACCCGGCCCGGCTCGGCTCGGTCTCCAGGCTGGCAGAGGCGGTAAATGCCACACCGTGCGCTCCACCCAGAAGCCCGCACAAAGGTGCTCATTCCACGGAGCCGGCAGCGGATCATAGCACAGCAGAGAAACAAGGTAACTGGGTCCGGGCAGCACGCGGTACACGCCTCTCCCGGAAACGTGACGCAATCCAGGCCCGCATCAAGCCCGAGTCAATTATAAGGCGGATCGATTAGCCGGGCCCTCTATATGACGGCAGCCGCGGGCAACGGCCGCATTATTGAAGCAGTTCGGAGAGCCGCGGGCGCCGCGTGCGCTGCTCAATCAGTTGACAGCCGTCAACAGTGACGGGCGGCCGGGGGCAGAGCTGACGGGCGGCAGCCGGGCGGCCGCGGAGGAAATGATTGATCCCGGCCGCCCACGCCGTGAAAACCGACCGAAACGCACGCAGCTCTGAGTTTTACAGAACAAGTCTGCCATAGCGCACAGTGTTTGATATCAAATGGTGGCCTGGGGCCATTTGCGCAGCCAAATAAATCCAAAATTTTTAGGGATGTTTTAGACTCACTCAGCTGAACACATAAAGCATATAATCTACATATCGCAATAAATAACTTTAAGTGAATGCAATTATTCATTGATGTCGAGTGATTGACAAAATGAACATACAGCTCAGGAAAAAGCGTTATAAAATCTTGCAACAAAAGCAGGCATTGCGCAACAAAGGGTGTCTCCCTCCCTCTCCTCCGTGTGACCGGACCGTTCCCTGGCCGGGCCCCATTCGGGCACCGCTGCTATCACCAGGATGACCGATCCCAGCCGCCTCCCAGGCGGCGCGCAGCGCTCTCGGCCCATTTCACCCGACATGGACAGCCACAAACTCTCCCAACTTTACTCGTCCGAGAGAATCGCCGACTCGGGCGAGAGCACACAAAGCGCCGGCGAGACACGGCGCCGCTGGGAGCTCCATAAACCGGGGGCCGAGCCGGCGCGGAACGGTCCGAGAGCACACACTGGGCCGTGGGTGTCCGGTTCCACGCCGCCCCCGGAGAGAACCAACAGCTGGGCAGAACTGCGGCACACCAGGCCGGTAATCTGCGAGTGCAGGCGGCGCTGCAGAGTTGTGCGAGACAGCGGAACTGGTCAAACTCACCGAGGGCGGTACTGGGAGCAGACCCATGCTGCCGGCAGTCTCCCCACCGGAGAGCCGGAGAGCAGCCGCGGGTGTCAGCGGTCGGCGGATGAGGCTCAGTCGCGCGTCCACCGCCGGAGGTGTGGGTTCGCAGAGAGACACACAAGCGTTCTAACCACGGATCGTGGGGCGGATACCCAGTATTTACTCCACCATTCGAATCAGGACAGCGTTTTGTTGATCAAACTTCTGATTATGACCAACGGTGGCTCACTTCAAGAAACGCTCAGTCGCAGTGGACACGCTTTAGGTCCGAGGCCACACCACTGAAGGTCACCCTGCTCACTTCCGATAATTGTCGACAAAAACTCGGGTCTGATCAAATCATCGACATTGCCAATGCGAAAGCACGAAACACAATGCAAGTTAGTTCGAAACAATCGCACCGCGGAAGAAGTGCACTGGAATAGTCACCACTGCACTACCAACACTACCCGACACTACGAGCAGTCCGATGTCTGCCCTTCGACTGCCTGACGTTTCGGGCGACTGAGGCGGCGGGCGGCCAGGCGCGCACTGAGCGATATGACTGATCAGTGCCGATGGGAGCACCCCCACCTGCTGTCAGACGGGCGCCGGGCGGACCGACACCTGGCGCCACCGTCACAGCGGTGGAGAGACAGAACTACGCCGCCACAAATGGTGGAGACTTTGTGGAGTCACTGTCACAGCGGTGGAGAGACAAATCTACGCCGTGAGGCGGAGCCGTCACAACCGGTCGGAGCCTTGTGTGACCTTCATAGGGCTAGAGAGAGGCAGACACAACACGACGCGGGGCTAGGTAGCCATAATAGCCGGGAACTTCCGTCCCATACACGCTAGGCGACAAAGCTATGACGCGAGGTCAAGCAGCTGAAAATAAACGGAACATTGAGCAACGCTAATAAAGCTGGAAAGAAATAGATACGGTGCATGGTCGATTTGTGACACATCCCACAACTTGGAGCAGGAATTAGTGCTGGTGATATACCAGGATAAGCACTAAGCAGTCCGCTCAGAACTGTGATAACAAGGCACTAAGAACAGGCAGCTAGTTTTTATGTAACCGTTGGTAATTGGCAGATAGCGACACAGCTTTTTTCTAGTCGATAGATGCTGCTACCTGCCGACTTAGTGAGATTGGCGGATTACTGAAACAAGGTCAAGCCAAAAAAGGTTGCTTGTAACGGACAATGAAAACAGAAAGATAAGGCAGAAGTACGAACAAAACAGATAAAAAATAACGTCAAAATACTAATCATTGCATTCGTAAAGATTTTGACGATGCTCTGCTGATGAATTAAAAAGGTAATTAACACAAAGGTTGAGCACAGTGCAGCAGTTTAGCCCCACAGTCAGTGAAAGAAATATAGACAACAGTATTCCATCACCTGACATGGACACAAGCGGTGATACCGGTGCTGGCAGGAACAGGAAACCAAAACCCGTGAAAAGCCCCCCGGCCGGCGCCGAGGCCCCGCAGAAGCAGACAGTGCCCAAGGAGACGTGTGACACCGACCACCGCCGTCAGACGCCCGTCGCCGAGGTATGCCCCCATCACCGCCCGTCGTCGAGGCTGACCCCATCACCGCCCGTCGCCGAGGCTGACCCCATCACCGCCCGTCGCCGAGGTACGCCCCCGACTCCGACCATGGCCCGGGACCGGGCGCTGGGACAGACCCCCGCGGGTGGTCGGCGCCCGTCGGCCGGGGCTGACCCCCGACACCGACCGTCGCCCGTCGCCCGCAGCCCACCACCTGTTGTCGATCCATACCGCCACCGGCCCCGCCCGAACACAAACACACGGCATAGCGGGTCGATGTACCTGTCAGGACCGTCCGGCCGACAGCCGCCGCCGCCACCGCCGGCCTGCAACGAGCGGTACACAGAGGCTCGATCATGAGGACCATAGAGTGTCGGAGGGAACTGGAGACAGGAAAACTGGAGACGATTCCATCAGTCAGCGCTACAGAAAAGACCAGCCTACTCTCATCAGCTGCTGCCTATGTATGCATGTATGTATGTATTGACGATCAAGAGCAATCCACAATCGGCGTGGCGATTACACTCCGAGTCCGAGATTACACTCCGAGTCCGAGGCACTAAGCCCCTGAGTCTGTCTAGTGTGTAGTGTGTGACCCACGCTTTCCAAAAAGTGGATTTCCATTGTCCGATATCATTTACAGATAAGCGTCGATTGGAGAGCGACATGCATCAACCGATCACTTACAGTTACCTTTTTCGGGTGCATATCACAATCCGCTTAAAAAAAAAACGAAGTGCATCAATGCAGCACGCCACTGACGATCCCAATCACATCAGGCTACGCGGTCAACAGCTCGCAATCAGGCGGCTGCGATGCCCTATTCCGCGCTTTTCCCGCTGGCGAGCGGGTCAAGGGGCGCGTCTCTGCGCCCTGGGGACGACGCGCCAGCGCCGGTCTCAGGGGAACGGCCAATCGCCGCGCTACAGGTCGTTACGCCGGCGGCAAAACAGTCGGCCACGGCGCGGGAGGTCGGCCGCCGAGCTGGCAGGGATCGTCGGCTAACCCCGACCGGAGCCCCGGCTTTGGACGTGCTCCGTCTGGAGACGGCAGGGACTTCAGCTGTGCCGGGGTGAAAATAAAGGCCACCGGGTATACCGAAATGCATTGGTTAAGAGAGAATATTTTCAGCATTGTTTAGTTAAGTTACATAAAAAGAAACAAAGCAATATAGAATGAAAAAATTGTTCGCACCTGATTCATAACAAACAAAATATAATATAGTTTGAAAAAAAAAACTAGAAAAAAAAATCAAAGTGAAAAAATAGGACAGACCAAATGCATCGGCGCTGACAAGGCAGACATGCTTGCTCATGGGTAATAAGGTACGACAGCTACAGGATGTTTTCGCTGAACGAAAAATAAAATAACCAAAGAGTGACAGCTTCTATTCCAGGAAAGTGGTAAGTACTATAGAAACCAATGTAAAAATAAGCCGTGTTATCATAAAATCATTCACGATATAGCTCCTTCTGATATTATACGTCCGCAAGAAAAACGCAGCCAATTTGACCGAAAAATCCGTTTCCGATTTGCGTCAGCCGTGTGTGAGCCGCGCGAATAGCCGTCCTCTCGCCGCTAGGCCGCGGGCTCAGGTGATCCATACGCCTCTCCGGGCCGGGGAGATCGCCCGCCGGCCGGCTGACATTTCTGCACCACCGATCCGCGGCCGTCCGTCAGCTTTATCGCACATTTGTCTGCCGTCCGAGTGTGCAGCCTCTCGGCCGCGCCTCCCCGCCGACAAATGAGGCGGCCACAGCGACGACGGATGCGTGCCGAACGCTCCTCCAAAACAGCCAAATTACCAAACTTGAAAAGAACTGGAGATGAAGAGAGCCGCATGTGTATTTGGAGGCCGAAATGGAAAGCGCGGGACAAAGCGGACTGAGGACAATACCGAAGACGAAAACAGACTGAGATCAAATATTGTCAAAGTAAATAATCTACGTGCAACAGTCGGTAAGAACATAAAAAATGCATAAAAATGAAGATAAGGGACAATATTGCAGTCGATCGAAAGCAATGATATATTGATCTATAACGGGTCATTTTTACGTGATTTTTGCGTATAACAAAAACGAACATAACACCCTATTTGAGATCGGAAATGAGCCCGTCACTGTATGAGGCTTGTGTTCAGTCCTGCGGTTTGTCTCCATATCACCAATAGTTGGTTGAAGTGGCATGTTTTCGCTGGAAACATTACGATTCCGCCCAGAAATGACCCCCGTGCAGCCTGGATGACGGCCCTAACTTGTCACGGACCAGCGGCGAATGTCGTATAAAGGACATACGACTACGGTCCGAATTTGCTCGGCCGTCAGTTGAGGAATGTTATTATTTCCAGGGGCATTTTTCAGCGGCAACAGCCCCACCGAGGCACAGAAGTCGGCGTCTGGCAAAAGGCTGTCCAGACACCAGCAAAGCCAAACAACGACCGAGAGGGGTGTGTCGAAACTCGAACCGTCCAGTTGTTGTCGATGGACATGATACTGAATGATATCACGCTACAGCCAGGACTACAAACCCTGCCAGCGACCTGCACAAGGCACATGGACAACGCACAACACAATACAGACACCGACTGACTTGAAACCAACGCCAAAGGATTTGATTAATTCGGAAACGGGTTCCATTTTCACTGGAATCGGAATCACATTACTGATCACTGATGAAACAGGAGCCTAAACACAATCAAGTGAACCTGTTGATTTATCAATAGTTCGACTGTCAGTACGTTTCGTGGAAGCGACATGACCGAAATCGATTCAGGGAAGCGAAATCAGGCACCATCATGGCCATGGGCAGTGGACACATTACTGTGGAGACAGACCCAAACATCGGGTACTGGACGTCTGACTTTAAACAACAGCACGGGAACAGCACACGAATGAAGAATGAGCCCGCCGGTACAGGCACATACGAGGTGAGCCTGCTGCCACATCAGTTCGGTGAGCGGTAAACGTCCGCCGCCGTTTATCACGGCCCAGGTAGAGGCTATTCACCTTGTCCACTTCCGCGCTGACGATATTCTGCTGGCCCTGGCCTTGGGAGAGACTACTCACCTTGTCCAGGTCGGCGCTGTCGCCGGTGACGGTGCGCTGCTGGCCCGCGCAGAGGCTACTCACCCTGTCTAGGTCGGCGCTGTCGCCGGTGACTGAACCCTGGTAGAAGCTACTCACCTTGGTCCAGGTCGGCGCTGTCGCCGGTGACGGTGCGCTGCTGACCCTGTGGACCGGGTAGAGGCTACTCACCTTGTCTAGGTCGGCGCTGTCGCCGGTGACGGTGCGCTGCTGACCCTGTGGACCGGGTAGAGGCTACTCACCTTGTCTAGGTCGGCGCTGTCGCCGGTGACGGTGCGCTGCTGACCCGGGTAGAGGCTACTCACCTTGTCCAGGTCGGCGCTGTCGCCGGTGACGGTGCGCTGCTGACCCAGCAGACGGTCCGTCTCCTGATCCGTGTCCGCCTCATCTGGCGAACAGAAAACAACGCGATCAGAACGGCGTGGGATGCGGCGCGGGCGCTGGGGCGCTCCCCATGATAGCACTTCCTTGATTTTGCTTGTAGTTATCAATTTCCCGAAAAAGAGTTTAGTGTGGGTTATTTCTGTGAACATTTCATGTCATTATAACAGCTGTCATTCGCATTCAGTCCGAACTTTTAGCTGACATTGATCGCTTTGACAGACAAAGAGAACTTTGCATTTTACATCACCATTCCTTTTGTGAAATGTTAGGATTTTAGCACACAGCTTCTGGACCGGTCCAGTCTAGAATACACACACAAATCGGGGTTGATGGGTACACACTTATCACAGGCGTCAGACCATTATGTTTTGCAAAAGCACGCCACGCTTGATTAGGCAGAAGCGCGGTCAGGGCTATGGATTTGGTTGGACTTCATTGAAAAACAAATGACGGCTAGAGCAAAGACTGTCCATCACTAGCATACAATCCTATATATCTACGAGTGTCTTTCTCTCGTAGGTTCATCTAGGAGCTGTTCTCTTGCTCCAAGCTGTATTAGGTTTCACTTCAGCTG